CCAGGGCTACGCGGCTGAGGCGAAAACGATTGACCTTTTGGTCTCAGTTATGTCGGTGGTTGTCAAAACTAGGGTCCCTTTTTGGGTACCCTAAATATTAGGTGCCATACTATAATAGGGACCCAAAAAAGGACCATAATTTTGACAACTACGCATGTATGGGGCTCAGTCAAGGCTCGGGCTTCACAGCGGTTTAGGTTTGAGGATTTTGGGGCTTTCAGCGGACATGCTTGCGGCCGCAATCCTGAGCATGGCACCTGGTATTTCAAAATCCAGGTGGTGTCGGCTGAAATGGGCCCCTAAACCCTAAACCCGGAGCCCTCACCCTTCAACCCTTACAACCAACCCAATAGCTCGATTGGCCACCTGCTTCCTTGTTAAAACACGAGGATCCCACTCATACGGTTGGTTTCGGGCTTAGCGTTTGGTCAGTAGGAGAAACAGGAGCTGAATTGGAGTGTCTAGGCAAGCCCCCACCCCGCTCAAATCTGTGAACCAAACCGACCCTTAAACCCTAAACCCTCACGACCCAACGACCGAAACCCCAAATCCGAAACGCAGACATGCGAGATTCTTGCACACAAACTATGGACCCGGTCCTGTAGGGGTTTGGGGAGCTCAGCAAATTTGAACTCAATGAGTTCTTAAACTCGGAATAACCTCGAGTTTTGGGAGCTGTATACGAAACCTATCTGTAAGAAAACTATGTCTACCTGTAGTTCAGATGTCCGTATTATACCCAAAAAAACCTACACCCTTCGGGCTCTCACTCGCCCTGAACCCTGAAACCCAAACCCTAAATCTCGGTCTAGGGTTGAATATTAGGGTTCAGGGTTTAGAGAACCCCAGACGGTAATATAGGGGACTCAGATAGCGGTTTTGAAGCTCATTATACTAAAACTATAATACGGAACCCCCAAATTAGTAAAGATAATTATGTAAGCCCCCTAAAGTATGGTACCCTTATAGATCCCCTATAGTAGCCCTTTTAAGGACCTTTTAGTATAGGTACTTAGTTAAGCCCCTTTTTGTACGGAGAACCAGTGCCTTGAGCCCATCGCCTTGAGATGGTGGCACTTGGCCACAGAGCTCAGACCTCGGAGGAGACTTAGGTTGCCCAGTATAGGGTATAGGGTTTAGGGGTTTAGGGGTTTAGGGGTTTAGGGTTTAGGGTTTAGGGTTTAGGGGTTTAGGGTTTAGGGTTTAGGTAACCTACGGTTGATGATACAAAGGACAGTGAAGCACTGTGATAGGAACGAAGACAGTACTGTCGCTGATATAAACCCTGAATTACCCATAATGAGGAATAGACCATTCTTCCCATAGTGTAGGGTCCTTAAGGTAATGCGGGATTTATATCATCAACATATTAAAAGGGTGTCTCATAAGGGAACCCAAATGAAGGGAATAAGGGTACTACTGGGCCCTGTTGTTATGAAGCTCAGACCGCGGACGAGAGTTGGGACAGCGCGGTGCTTCTCGCGAAGATTAGACGGGTGACTCTTGGGTGAAAAAGTTTGCCCAACTAGCAAACATTTGCAGGCTCTTGAAGTGAAGCAAAGCGGTATAAATAGAAATAGAAACTTAAATAAATAAATATATATATATATATGTATATATATATTCATGCATATGTGTACAGCGGGAGAGACAGAGAGAGAATTAATTCACACGGACACTGCAAAAAGGGGCAGGCTTTGCCTTTGAGGGCTTAGGGCGTTTGGTGGTTGTTTGGACACCTCGAGGCCCGAGGATTCGCGTCAGTGCCCTAAGCTCAAAACCACCACCTTAACCCTGAATAACCTGCCCTTTTAGGGTTCCTTATCACGATTTCCTGATACAATAGCCTTAGAAAGGCAGGTGATTCCGAGTTAAAGTAAACCACCGAAACCCTCAACACGCCTCGCTTTTGGGCATACATGATCATGCAGGATTTTGATTCACAGCGGCTCTTCAGCGATCCTGCCATTAGGGCTTATACTAGCCGAAACCCGTCTCGTCTCCAGGGTTTGAAGTTTCAGGTTCAGGGCTTAGGGCTTCGAGTTTAGGGTGTGGGGCTTTGGGTTTCGAGTTTGAGGCTCCGGGCATAAAGTTTCGAGTTTCGGGTTTCGAGCTTGTGGGTCAGGGCTTAGGGTTGCGAATTCAGGATGTAGGGCTTGGGGTTTCGAGTTGAGGGTGTAGGGCTCCCGGGCTCAGGAGTTAGGCTAAGCGTTTCAGGATCGATTCCTGTAGGGATTCATTTTCTTGTACTCTGGCCGGACTGTCTGCGGCAGTTTCGGTCAAACCTTAAACCTCCAAACTGCAAGTTAGCACCCCCAAAAGGGCTAGGGGTTAGGATTTAAAGTAACCCTCAACCCGTATAAACCCTGAACCATTCCCTAAACCCTAAAGCCTGAACCCTAAACCCTGAACCCTAATTCCCTAAACCCTCAACCTTCATTCCCTAAACCCTCAACCCTACCTTAACCCTGAATATCCTACCCTTTTAGGGTTCGTTATTATGATTTCCTTATATAAAGCCTTGGAAAGGTAGGTGATTCCGGGTTAAGCCCAGAGAGCCCAGTACTCCTTAATTAAGGGGTATGGCTTAAATTATAGAGGGCTTCATATTATAATTTAGGCAACATTTCTTAATTAAGGGGTATTGGGCTCTCTGGGAGGTAAACTGTGGCTCTGTGCGCCCCGCAGTGCGGTCTCCGCGGCATCCGAAGCATCTCCCGAAGCCATGGCCGTGCCCAGAGACTCCAATATCCCTTAATTAAGGAATATACCTTAATTCATAGTAGGATCCCTTATATGATTTGAGGTATATTCCTTAATTAAGGGATATTGGAGTCTCTGGGTGGTGCCTAGACCCTCCTTCAACCCCTCTCAGGGTCCAAGTGCCCATGTCGTAGGTGTATGTATGTATGTATATACCTATCATTTCATATGTGTACATATATGCATGTGCGTAGTACACACACACACACATATATATATATATATATATATATACATGGAGATATACATGCATACAGACATGTAAGTGCACCAATACCAATATATCTACTAATTTCTGCTGGAATGAGCGAGGTTGGGGCTTCGGCTGGTTTAGGGTTTAGGGTTTTTTTTGGGGGGTTTAGGGGTTAGAGTTTACGTAGGCGTAGGAGGAAAGGTAGCTAGGAGACTTTTCTCCTTGATATGCGACCTCCTGGATCCCATTCACATTACGCAGCACCAGCTGGAGCAATTTTGGCAATGGCGGTGGGTGGTGGATCTGCAGGGTCTAAGGTTTAGGTGCTTAGGGTCTACGGTGCAGCATCACATACCCAGGACATAGAGGAACATAAAGCGAAGTGGAACAAACCGCAGAGTCAGAGCCGAATTTGTGCGTCTCGAGAACACTCTGAAAGGACACACTAACAAACCTGATAACACAGTGCCCGAATGCCCTCCACAAGCCCGAAACTGACACCAACAGAGCGGGGCAAGGCCCCCCTTTACAGCTAGACACTCAGTTGAATTGTTGTATCGTGTTCAAACTGTTGTATCTTGATCAATCTCACCCAATCAAAGGGCACAATGCCAAACCATAGAACAAGGTACCGAACAAAGTACCTTACACTTCAGGGTCTACGTATGGCTACTATAAGCTTGCTCTGTCGGTGCATCCTGGTAAGTAGGACATCAATTGGCAAACACAGAATAGGCAGTAACCAGAATCCGCTTGGGCTTAAAGGGTGTAAACATTTAGCTGATACAGGCCTTGGAATTTGCTTTGCCATGCTATTGCGTGAAGCTCCGTAAACATACCTTAAGTCGGAATAACCTACCTTTTTAAGGACCTATATCAGGAAATCATAATAAGGAGCCCTAAATGTGTAGGTTATTCCGGCTTAAGGTAGTTCTAGTACTCTATATCCCACAATGCGAGTCTAGAGCTCCTAGCGTGCTAGATGTTCAGACCCTTTTTTATTTTTAAGGGTTCATGTACTCATATAGTATATACATTGGCCTTAAAGTACTCCCTATATAGGTACATTGTGCCCAAAGTATATGCTATATGGGTGCATGGACGCTCGGGAATTGTCATCGCCATGATCTTCTTGGTTCGAGGCTCCTTTTCCAAGCTTGCGGGTTCCGCCTCTAGTCTAGTGTCTCATCAACATGCGACCTTGGCAAAGCACCTGCAGCAACAGCCGGGACTCTGAGCCGCGATGGGTCAACTGGAGCTCGTCGTGCAAGCTAAGGCTAAGGGTTTGAGCTTAGGTTGCTTTGGGTTTAGGGTTACGGTTTACTGTAAGATGGTTTATAAGGTTTAGGATTATGAACCCTCGACTTTGGAAAATGAGGCATCTCGACCTTGCTGTGCCGCTTGGAACGGGTAGCCATTGCACCAACATTCTCTGCTTTTGGAATGTAAATGTGCAGAGAGAAACAAGTGAAAAAGATGGAAGCACAGGGTGTCCATGTTCTAGGGCCGGTTCCTCCCCTCACCTTCACGACCAAATGAGCACTAAAAGCGTGCAAGATTCAGTTCTCAAGATGGCATATGAGACGCCGTATAGGGCCTAGAGTTGTAACAAGAAGGATCATGAACGCGCAGAGCCTGACACTTTTGAGGCCACACTCGGTCTTGAAGGTTGCAACCAGAAACCAACACTCCTGTTCCGCCAGGAGTAGACAGCTATTCTCTAGTTCGGATTTAAAGGCTTGAGCACCATACAGTCAGGTTCAGAGGCAGAGGAGCTTGCTTGAAAGCTGTGCAGTTCTGCAACAGCAAACTCTGAAAATTTGCGAATGGCGTCCGTCGATGTCGGTTGTACGCGGACGCTCATGTTTTATGACAAGCTAGAAGCCTTTGCTGGGCCAGTAACTGGCAGTGCTTCGGCTCCATCAAACAATGCGGCTGCCTGAAACGCCATAAGCCAGGGTCAGATTCCCAGACCCTGACATGCAAGGTTTAGCGTCTAGGCCCCTGAAGCAAAATGTAGCTATGCCTCTAATTTGCGATGACACTATGCCAACCGCCTGCGTCGCTGGCGCTGCCGACGGCGCTTCTCACTCTCGTCGCAAAGGTGACAGAACAAGCCTCGGTCTAAGGTACGTAGTTGTCATTGTGTTAGTTCCTACTACAGTGCTTTACTGTCCTTTGTATCTCATCTGGTTCCCTGACAATCAAGCCTTTTTTCGGCCTGCATTCCTTGCTGAATAAGATCCCGAACATCAACCCGGAACCTCAACAATCCAATCCTACCTCCACATCTAATCTAGATCCTAAGCAGCCACACCAACCCTAACCCCTAAACCTGAACCCTAAAGCCTAAACCTGAACCCTACACCCTAAACCTCAACCCTACACCCTAAACCGTTAAATCCTAACCCGAACCCTAAAGCCTAGACCTGAACCCTAAAGCCTAGACCTGAACCCTAATCCCTAGACCTGAACCCTAAAAAATAAAGCGTTAAATCCTAACCCGAACCCTAAACCCTAAACCTGAACCCAGAGCCTCCAAAATCCCTTAATTAAGGAATATACCTTACATCATATAAGGGATCCTATTATAATTTAAGGTATATTCCTTGGGAGGCTCTGGGAACAATGAATCAACTACCGAGACTCACGTCCTCCCACTGGCGCACCCGTCCTTCTTTGCTGTTCGTGCAGGTTGCGAAACAAGATGATTACTTAGGTTCTGCCCCCATACAGCAAGAGTCTATAATAGGACTACTATTAAGGTCCTAATATATCTATATTATGAATATTATTCAACTATTACTGAGTGGGGGCCGTACCCAAATGATTACTGTTTCTGCTTAAGCCTAGGCTATACCAAAAACCAGAAAGGAAACTTAGTATACCAAACAAAAGACTCTGCTGTAGGAGACGTAAACTCCCGTTGAAAACAGCAAAAGCAAACTCTTAACCCAAAGCCCTAAAGTTACAAGATCCCGAGGGCTAAAGAAAGGGAGGGGTAGATCGGTTTTTATAGTGTTCCGAAAGAATTCCAGAAGCATTCCTGAAAAACGTGCGGAAAGCATTCTGATTTTGATGCAGAGCTGAGAAGTATTCCAAAATGCGTTCCACGGGAACCCTCTGACCAAAAAGTGTTCCAAAAAGCATTCCAACGGAGCGCTTTGCAGAACACTTTCCGGAACACTTTTTTGGAACGCTTTTTGGAATGCTTGTGACCTGGATCTGCAGAGGACGGGCCCCCGAAAAGGCATTCCAAAAAGCATTCCAAAAAGTGTTCTCAAAAAAGCGTTCCGCCAATGACCTGCTGCTGAAAAAGTATTCCAAAAAGTGTTCCAAGATGTGCTTCCAGCCGGAAGCTTTCAGATTCAAGGGTGCTCTCTCGGAATGCTTTTCGGAACACTTTCGAATCTGGAACACTATTCCCCACGCTTTTCTGGAACACATTCGGAATGCTTTTTGGAACACTATTAATCAATAATCAGGATTCAGGCCTTTGGCTCCTGGGGGATCTTGTAACCCTAAAGCCCAACCCAAAACGCCGGAAGCAGAACTGACACCAACAAGCAATCTCCGCAGCCCTGAATCTATAACCCTCAACCCCTACAAAAACCCTAAACCCCTGAAGCCCTAAATCCCTCATCAACACATAAATGAACAAATATAAAAAACCTTCAATGCACTGTAATAACTATTAGAAACAAAAAATAGCGAGTAAATTAGCAGTACATACATACATACATACATACATACATACATACATACATATACATATATATATATATAGATGCATGTATGTATGTATGTAGTATGTATGTATGAAGGTATGTATAGTATGTATTAGTCTAAACCTTAAACCCTGGACCCCAGTGATTAGACCCCTCAAGCCCTAAACCCCCAAAAGCCCTAACCCTAAAACCCAAAACCTCTGTGCCTTCTTGGAAGTAGAGTAGAGTAATACTAAGCATGTATATATATCTATATATATATATATATACATGTGTATATATATACATACATATATACATATATAATATGTATATGCACGTCTAAACCCCTAACCACTAAAGACCCTGAGCCCATAAACCCCTAAACACCTAAAAACCCTAAACCCCTGAAAACCGTTGTTGTGGCTAAAGACGCAGAGCCCTTAATGATTAGAATGGAGTTTGGGGGGGATATTATACTATAATTGTAATAAGAAACCGATAAACCCCATAAGGCCCATGGCCTTCTTGTGGAAAAAGACGCAAGGCCCCTCAATAATTAGAGTCCGTCCTAAACCCTAAACTCTAAATCCTAAACCCCATAACTCTAAATCCCCTAAAAACCCTAAACCCCATAACCCCACGGGGCCTTCTTGTGGAAAAAGACGCTAAACCCCTAAACCCTAAACTCCCTAAACCCCCCAAACTCTAAATCCTAAACCCCATAACCCCCCAAACTCTAAATCCCAAACCCCATAAGGCCCACGGGGCCTTCTTGTGGAAAAAGACGCAAGGCTTGCACTCGCGGGTGGCGTGGCCGCCAGATCCCAGGCTCGGCAGCGCGGGAGACCCGAGGACCACCTCGTCGGGTCTTCGGGGCCCTTTTTTAGGGGTTCCTTTAAAGGAGCCCTTAAAGGGACCCTTAAAGGAGCCCTTCAAGAGTTCCCTTAAAGGCGGGTTTTTAAAGGTTTAGGGTTTTGAGGTGTTTAGGGTTTTTCGGGGTTCCTTGAAAGGAGCCCTTACCCTGCTTGGAGCTTCATGGGTAGTCATATATGTAGGGTTATAAGTAGGGTAACTATACTTATAGCCCATATTAGGGGACTTATAACCCCACGTATAACTACCCCTGAACCTCCAAGTAGGGATCTAAGGACTCATATATTAAGGCTTTCGCGCCGCCCAAAGATTATACTACATAAGGCTTTTGGGCCACTTTGATCCCTAGGGTGAAAGGGCTCCTTAAAGGAACTGTAAGGGCTCCGCAGAGCTTCTTTATTAAAGGGGTGAGGGTTGCTTCAGTGCTTTCTTTGGGGTGTTTGATGTTTTGTTGTTGAAAGAGCTTAAAGGGGTTGGGGAGCAAGGCTTTCTCTCGGGTTTTCATGGTTTTTGAAAGGAGCGGGTTAGGGTTTCGTCAAAGCTTTCTTGAAAGGCTTTGGGGTTTCTTACAGCGTTCAGGGTCTAGCACGGTTCCAAACCTCCCTGGTGTACTGAGAATAAAGACCAAAAACAGCTGAACTCACAGCCGTCTCGCCTGTGCTCTGCTCGCATAGTAGGTGGGAGCTGGAACACTCATAATTTTCGATGGTGCTGGTTGCACCTGACATGCGGGGCTTGGGATCGGCTCTATGGTTTGATCAGGCGTTTGTGGTCGAACCCGAGGCTAAGACAAGAAGCTCTGGCTTAGGGATATGCGTTGCGTCCCTTTCAGGGTCCTTGTCAAAAAGGTCGTTTTTGAGGACCCAAAAAGGAACGCTAGTGTCCCGAACTACACATATGACTCGAAGTGTGGCGGGATGTCGAAAGGCGGGCTGGGGTACATGGACCACGGGCCGGGTGATTAGATGCTCTGTCTCTGTGGTCAACAGAGAATGCAGAGAGTAACTTAAGCTTTGGGACGAAGAAACTATTCTTGTGATGGCCTACTTGGAGGTTCATGGGTAGTTATAAGTAAGGTTACAAGTAGGGTAACTATACTTATGACTCATATTAGGGGAATATAACCCTACTTATAACTACCCCTGAACCTCCAAGTAAACCCAAAACTTGCAAACACATTGTGTGCTGGAAAACTTGATCTGCAGCCCTTGAACCCAAAACCCCTAAACCCTAAACCCCTAAACCCTAGTCCATGGGGCCTGCAAGCAAGGCCGTGCTGGGGTAGCATAGAATGTGGTACCTGTTCAGCATCCGGCACAGCCATTTGGGAGTTTCCGAAATTAGGGATAGTAGGATTTATAAAGAGAACCCAAATAAGGGCCCAAGGTTTCTTAATCAGGTTCCCAGATGGGAGAAAACGAAAATTAGGGGTACCGTAGTTTTAGGGTCCTTATCATATGGAACCCCATTATTTAGGGTACTATACTAGGGTCCCCTATTTTCGGAAACTCCCATTTTGCTCAGATTGAACTTAAAACATGCCCCCAGCATAGCCATTTGGGTGGTTGTCAAAATTAGGGTCCCTTTTGGGGTCCTTAATATCATACGGCACCTAATATTTAGGTACCCAAAGTGGGACCATAATTCTGACAACCACCCATTTTGCTCAGATTGAACTCAGAACATGCGCGTGCAAACACCCGAAACAAGAACAACGTAACAAACTCTCCACTTACACTGCACCCCAAATCCTAAACCCTCAACCCCAGCTAGACCCTCACGATATGCCGTACGCTATAACTACAGATATGGACCCTCAAGGAAGAAAGTTGCACATTCAATCTTATGCTGTTCTTGCCTGGCTTTCTCGGTTGAGGATCTGAGCAACCAAGAAAAGAAACGTGCGCAAGGAACTAAATTGGAGGGCATAGGCAAAAAGGTGAGCCGTTGGCAAAGCCTAGAGGTGCTTGTGGCGTAAATCCAAACCCTTTGCCCTAAAGCCTATTCAACCCTATACAACCCATCAGACCCTATTGAACCGTATTAACCCATAACCCTGAACCCTAAACCCTAAACCCCATAAAACCCTGTTATAACCCCGCTTAAACCCTACACCTAAATCCTTAACAGCGCTTGAAGGTGCTTGTGCTTGCTGGTCGTGGTTGGAACATCTTGGCGCCACTGGAAAGCCGCGTCCGTGAGTGATCGGTAGTGTCGGCCTCTATTCGGGTTCAGGGGTTTTGGGTTTAGGGGCCAGTTTAGGGGGTTTAGGGCGTAGGGCTTAGGAGTTTAGGGGTTTAGGGTTCAGGGTTCCGGGTTTAGGTTGAAATTGCCTGAAACCAGGGTTAGGGTTCCTTTAAAGGGCTCTAACTATGAGGGTACTAGAAGGGTTTAGGGTTTGTGTCACAGTTGGGGGTTTGGGGTTTTGGTGGGTCAGGGTTTATGGTGTCGGGCCCCAAAACCTGAACTCGAAAGTAACTGGGGCGTTCAGGGCTGAGGGTTTCGGGTGATGTTATAGCTAGGATACCCAGTAACCTAAGAATAAAAAGGCCTCTCTTTTTGGTATTGGGTAACTTTATAAGGAACCTAGGACTACAAAAAGGGAATAAGGGTACTACTGTGCATCCTAGGCGGGTTCTACAGGATGCCGAAGTTGAAGGCTGCAAGTTTCGACGGGGAATCTTTTGACTTCAAAGTTAGCTCAAAGCTGGGGGTAAAACAAAACAAAAGCATGTGGGTGGTTGTCAAAGTGATAAACCCCTTCTTGGGGTACCCTAAATATTAGGTGCCGTACTATAATGGGGACCCAAAAAGGGACCATAGTTTTGACAGCCACCCATGTAAAACCGTCAGCAAAACTGTAGCACTCCGGTCTGGGCTTTGAAGTCACTAAAGTACACTTGTATTTCTTGGAAGCTGCCCCAACCCTGTAATAGTAACCATAAGGATTATATAGGATTATATTAGGGCCCTATTATATTCCTATTATACCACTATTACAGGGTGGGGGCAGCTTCTAATGTATTTCATAATGGTTCCTTTGAGGAACAGGTCCAAGAACATGTATTAAGGTAATGACCCCAGAGTCCAGCAATATACTACACAAAACCCTGAGGCTCCAAGCTCCAAGTGCCCAAATGGCAGGGTTTCGGAAAAAAAAACAAAAAAAACGCCATTCAGAGTATAGTAGCCCGGGGCCCAAGAACCTACTCTGTGGACACTTGAACCGTCTAGGAACTAGAAGAGTTCTTGCCATGAAGACACTCACCAAAGCCGGCCCTACAGCTATAGGACCCCCCTCATCCTATGCACAGCAATCACTCCACCGTTGCTCACAACTTTGCCCGGCTCTTGAGCGACTTTGATGCCAACAAGCTGGGCTCAAAACATCTTCGGGTGCCTTGAAGCTCCCCTAATGCAGGGGCCTTGATAATCTAGACCCAAGAGTAGCCTAGGAATAAAAAGGATGCCCTTTTTGGGTTAAAGGGGGTTATAAGGGAACCTGAACCCTTAAAAAGGGAATAAGGGCCTACTCTGGGTCCTAGTAATTGGAGTAAGGTTTTGGGCCCATTATACTATAATTGCATTAAGGAACCTCCAAAATAGTATTGGTACTTACTAAGACGCATATGGGGGTTTCCGAAAATTAGGGGACCCTGATATAGTACCCTAAATAGTAGGATCCTTATTATAAGGACCCCCAAATAAGGTACCCCTAATTTTCGGAAACCCCCATATATTACAATCGGGTTTAGGACTTACGGTCTCAGTCCCGATCGTGAGGTCTATGGCACTCGGCTTGGTGCCCGTCTAATCCAAAAAACCAACTTCTGCACATAAACCCACGGCACAATGAGGACCGACGCAACAGCAAGAAAAAAAAAACGACAAACCAAAATTCTGCTCTGAGGTGATGAAGATCGGGGAGACATCTGGGTTCTAAATCCTGAAAACTCCGCAGGTGAAGCTTTGAGTCTACCAGCCCTTGGAACCAATAGTAACACAGCGGCCAATGATCCTTAGGGCTTATACTATAAACAGCTCACCGTTTTGGGATTAGGATTTAGGCCTAGGGCGTTCGAAGGATTCCCTTTAGGGGTGCTTTTGGGTTTAGAGTTGATTTCGACCTTCGCCGCCTTCTGTGCTGGAGAGTCTTGTTGGCGAGGCTGAGCCAGATGTCCCTGAGCCGTGTCCATCTCGTCATCCCTTAGGGTCAGAGCTTAGGAATTAAGGGTTTCGGGTTTAGGGGCTAGGGTTTAGGGTTTTGGATATAAGGCCTATCTCGCCAACCCTGATTCCCGGACTCTTCTGAGGGGGTCTTCTTACATGTACTTAGTGGGTTACTAGAAGGAATGCTATAAAGCGTTCTCGAAGACTCCTTATAATGTTCCGGTAAACTGTGGGCTTACATGAGAGTTTCCGAAAATAGGGGACCCTAATATAATACCCTAAATAGTAGGATCCTTATTACATGGTCCCCAAAATAAGGTACCCCTATTTTCGGAAACCCCCACATGTGCAGGTAAGGAGCTTCAACAGTTCAAGCGTTTAGGGCTCGAGGTTGGGGTTTAGGGTTTAGGGTTTTAGGGGCTTAGGGTTGAGGGTTTAGGGCTTAGGGGTTTAGAGTTTAGGGGTTTAGGGCTTAGGGGTTGAGGGTTTAGGGTTTATAGGGCTCGAGGCTCAAGGGAGGCAAGGACGCTTGCAGAAAACCAGCGTGATCCCAAAGGGGAGGGTACAGCTAACCAAGCGCCATAATAAGCAGAATCGGGCTTTGTGTCTACATTTACATCGTGGTATCACTATACTGCGAAAGCCTGGGAACCATATTGCTATATATGTAGGTTTTCCTTGTCAAGGTTGACTTTGTGACATGGCTTGTTCCCGAACCAGCCATTGTCAGTCCGGGAATTGCCACCTTCAAGGATGCTGCTACTGTTTTGCCCTGGCTTGTCACTGATCTTGTTCACATCGAACGCGTCGAGTCCGTTGCTGACACTAGCTTCTGGCTCTGCGCTGAATCCCTTCCCAAGGCGAATGCTGACGCCACTTTCCATTTCGTGCCGTACAGCTCCTGTTTTGCAAATCCGAGTCTGATCGACATTGCCACTTGGGCAGCTGAGGCTGGCCCTGTTCGTGGCTTTAGTCTCCTCGGTTTGCTTCCTTCCTTGGACTTTCCCCGTGCCTTGCGTTCATATCGGAAGCTCTGCCCACAGCTGCACCGTCTTAGACTTTTTGCTGATGCTGTTCGTGGCGTCTTCCACCTGTGGACTGTCGGTCGCCCTGCCTTCTTGCTTGTTACCTCGTCCCTTTGTCCTGGACTTGAGGTCGTCAGAAAGCTTGCACCGATCCGCAAGGACCGAGGAGAATATGCCGTGCTCGCCAACTTTCCCGGCGTTGACGAGCTACTCCCGCGTTTCACCTTTTCTAATTAATATTGCAACCTAGGCTGCATCCGACTTGGATCCTGTGCCTCGAAAGCGAAAAGCGATGTATATACAGTATATACATATACATACAGCTTATCAAGGATTCTATATTCCGTGTTGTTTAAAAGGGAAATGCTCACATGATCATCCAAGAGGCTTCTGTGCATAAAGAGCTGGACACGAGCTCACCTTGCGCATGTTGCTGAATCGCTCTTGGAGAGTGTCTGCATCTTCCAAATCGAGGAAGGTGTTGCCTAAGAGACAGGGGCTGCAGATGCAGGTGCCAACATCAAAAGAGAAGTGCGAAGGACGGAGGCTAAGCCGTGAGATTGGCTAAGCTGAAACCCTGTAGCTACTGTAGACCCCGGATTCAAGCACCCCTCTTCCGTAACAGGGATCGTAGTAGGGATAGTAAGGCCCTCAAAAGAGGAGGCATCTATCGATCGAGGGTCTACCTCATTAACAGACCCCGATTCCTAAACCCTAAACCTAGGGTAACCCTCAGAGTGCGGGGATTCGCGGCTTAGGGTTTCTGGCCAGGTTGGAAGGTCCAGGTGTCAAGGATTTGAGACTTCGCAAGTACATGTTGCTACATAGTGGGCTTGAGGTCCCTGTGTAGTACCAGTCATATTTTGGCGCCGAGTTTCAGGCAGGCTAACGTCCCTGCACCCGCAAAGAGGGGCTTTAATAATTACTTGGAATAAGGCCATGGGGTATATGATACTACAATCGAAAAGGGAACCCCAAAATCGCATTGGTAATGTTTTAAGCCCCGATACTACATTCTCGGCCCAAGTCCTAACGCACCGGCAGCCCCAGCAGCACTTGGACCCCCAGCCCATTGTCGGATGTAACAGAGCTTCGAGGTTTAGGGAAAAGGGTTTAGGGTTTAGGGTTTAGGGTTTAGGGTTTAGTGTATATAACCTCCTCCAAACTCCAAGCTTCGCTTCGAAGCCTTCGAATTTGTGAAACTCCCCTCCAGACCACAAGCGATACCCCAAAGGCTACCACCACAAACTCCTTGTTATAGTAGCCCTACAGCCCAACATCACGCTTGTTTGCGAATCCCAGGAGCGGACGTTGAGTTGCCCTGTGAGTTTCTCCTCCGGCAGGCTTACCCCTTTCGCAGCCGAGATCGAGCACATCATGTAAGACTCAGACGGGGCGTCCTGGGCCCTCTTAAGGCCCCTGGGGTGATGGCTCTGGTGGCCCTATGATTGTATAAGGGCTGCCTGAGCCTTTAAAATGCCTGCAGACATGTCCGAAAGTCAGATTTTCTGCAAGCGGATTGCTAGAGAAGGAGCCATTCACGTATTGTCCAAAACCCCCTGCATCTACATCTATATCTACATATATATATATATACACACAGTTATACACATCATACCAAGCCCTGAACCCTGAATCGAAAACTTAGCCAACAGGAGCCCCTTTTGACCGCCAAGTCTTTGAAGTTTCAAGAATCCCCAAAGACTCCAATTTCCCTTAGTTAAGGAATATACCTTAAATCATATTAGGGATCCTTACTATAATTTAAGGAATATTCCTTAATTAAAGGATATTGGAGTCTCTGGGTCCTTCCAGGAGGGTTCAGCCTCAAGGCGCTTGGCGGGGAGCCCTCCTTCGGGGTTTGAGGGTCCCAAAGGGTCCAAAGTATCTTCATGGTAGAGTCTAGGGTTCCTATATTAGGAATTACTATTATGATTTGGGGAAGTATCTCCCATAACAGTACTTTGGACCCTTTGGGGGTAGGGTTCGGGGGTTTCCGGTTTAGAGTTCATTGTAGAGAGACATCCCCGATTTCGACTAGGAATCTATACCTTAACCCGGAAGATCCTACTTTTTTAAGGACTGATATAAGGAAATCATAATAAGGAGCCCTACAAAGGTAGGTTATTCAGGGTTACAATTTCGGAATCCGAAGACGTAAGGAAGACAGGAAGCACCACGAAGAAAGGGCCTCCAGTAGTGTCAAGTTGAAGATAGCATGCCTGCTGATAACCTGACGGTCCATGTACGCATATACTAGGTTGGC